ATTGAATCTGCCTGTCTGGTCTGGTCATCAACAGAGGCATGGGTGAGATGGCAGGAAGAGCCCCCCCCCCCTTTTTGGACTACCCTCCCCAGAAGTATGTGTCACCCTCCTTCTTGCTGCAGCTCCAGAACAGGTTAAAGCAGTTTTATTTCAGCAGGTTTGTAGTCCCAGCTATTGGGGTTGCTTGTCTTCAGTTGTCTTTCTTTTTGGTGATGAGGTTTTTTTATTCTGACATTGTTCTGATTTACTTATTTATTTTTAGGTCTTTGATTATCTTGTTTTTGGTGTTGGGGGCTGCCTGTTTGGGACTGGGGTAGTTACAAGTAACAATAAAGAAACAAATAGAAAAATATTGAGAAAACCTTAGAAAGGCTCTGTAAACTTCATCCTTGGCATAACTGTATTTTGGAGGCCTAAGGTTGTAAACACTATCACTTAATTATTATTTAGCACTAATATATCAATCAAATCTTTATTACAGTCATAGACCAGCACTAATATAAGTCTTTGGTTCATACACACTCTCCTCTCTCTCTCTCTTCATTGCAGAAAATAGAAGCTTCCAGCTTCTAACATTTAATTAACGAATTGTCCTTATCATTATAAAGGACAAACCATGGTTATTTTAAGTTAGGGTTTACTGAAGCAAGACTGTACTTTCTGGTTTCAACAAACCCCAAGTTGCAGTAACCATAGATGCCAGTTATAATTAATTTTAATTTAATTTAATTTAATCAATGAAGGCACCTCATAATAGGGGGCAAAAAAAATAGTTTAATTAAGTGCAAGGAAAAACTTAATTGAAAACACAGCGATAAAAACAATCAGCTCACCCTCCAGCTTGACAGGCAAACATCATATCCCCCTAGGCAAAGAATTATAAAACCTGGGAGATGTCTCCAAGACGGCCTTTTCTCATATTCCTACCAGAAGATACATTGTTGAGGGTGAAAGCACTCAATTTTTCTCCATATCTTAAGTCCTGAATGTAGTAAGGCTCTGATTAGTTGAACAAAAAGGAGTTGAATGCTTTAATACCCTTTGTAGCAAAGCCAGAAGAAAAAGAGAGGCAAGGCGGAACTGATCAAGCTATTTCAAGTCCATGTTATTATCTTCTGTTTATGCAAAAGACCCTTTTATTTCATTTCCAGTTTAAATTGCAAGTTACTGGATTTTAATCCACACGAACACTGATGTTTAAATAGGTATTTCAGCTGCATTTTCTCAGAGAATATGTATTTACAAAAGTTTTTTATCTCAAAACATAGTTAAAATAAATATAGTACATTTTCTTTTGGGAATGATTATCTGCATGAATCTGTTCCTATCACAAGCAGCCAAGTTTATTATTAAAATATGTTGGAAAACTGCATCTTTAATTGTCTCAGCAGCATTTTAAAATGTTGATAGGCGCTTTGGCTGAAAAAAAGGACACAACAAGAAAGCTTTGAAAAACCCTACTAGAAAGAATGAAGTTATTCAAATCTGGTCACCTTTTATTGGTGTGTTAATAATATCTTTGTTAATGCCTTAAACTGTACAAATATCATTTTGGACAGAAATACGCAATATGTATGTTTAAAACATTTCTCTTTTTCTTTAAGGCAAATTCTTCTCTCCCTCTCCCTCTCTCTATTCAATAAGTATACTGATTCCCAAGTTTTTGTTTTTACTCTTTCTTTTGTTTTGGCTGTTGTCATTATTTTTCTTTTGAATTCCACATTTTATTATGCTTTATGTGATTTGTCTGGGGAAAAATAAAAGAAAAACAAAACACCTTGAAAACTATCTCCCCGCCCCCAAAGGTGCAACAATTAAGGATCTCTCATTCTAGAAGATACTGTGATACTGGTTTGCACCCCCAGCCCCAAAGGCATCCATGATGAGGGGGTCAAGAAAGTCAAGACAGTGGCTTCAGCTGTGTGATCAATGCCCTGTCCCTTTTTTAATGGCTGTAATGTATGCAATGCAGGTTTAAAAAACAGAATCATGGCCACCATATTTACTTTCTTGAATTGCGCCTAAGGCCCATTTACAAATTGCTCACTCAGGCCCTACAGATAATTCCTGAAGAAACATAAGCCTTGCCAGAAAAGTGGTTGTCCACTGTTCAGATTTCTATCTGAACTGGTGAATTTTATCCTGGGTCAGACTGTTATGAATAATGCCTAAAAGGAAAACTAGATGTGTTAAGATTAGCTAGAAAAATCCTTGAGTTCTGTCATGAAAGTCAAAATTAATTTTCATACCTGGAAAAATATACTCGGAGAGTAGTATATTTAAGGAGGAAAAATGCTTTTAATATACAGTATTATAGCCTATTTGTCAATAGTGGAGTAACACAAATTCCATAAATAATAATTATAATGGGCAGTAGATGGACAGATTTTAAACTGCTTCTAAAAAACCTTTTTAAATCTGCATGTGCATTAAAAAAAAAACTTTAAACAGGTATTATTTTAATGCTCCCCTCAAGGGAATAATCATGGAGGGCCAAATTCTTATGACATCCAGAGACTTGCCAGCGCTAAAAGCAGCCCTGAATACAAAAATAATTTAATAAGGTGAAGTTGATTTCCTCTTCTGGCTTGCAGTATCATGATGAATGAATGAATTAAGGCAACAAGATGAGACAGGTACTGTTTGAAGGAACCAAGTAAAGATAATAAGCAACTATTTTCAACACCACTGTTTTGCAAAGCTATGCTTTATATGTTATTCTAGAACCTTCACCCTGGAACCACATTTTTGTTATTTTCTCAGAAAAGTAGTCTGACAGAAATTGATCACTTTTTTCCCCAGAGGGAAATTAATTTCCAAGAAGCGTAGGTCTTTAAAGAGATGGCAGGAAAGTTATTCCCCTCCCTTTTCTTGAACCAAATTCTGTTACTTCAAAAGGGGTAGAATTATCATCTGTATCTTAAAGCTCAGAATGTTATCTTAGAACAGTTGGCTTTTCCAAGTTATGGAGGAACCCAGTCTGGCCTGTACACAACCACGGGGACCAAATCACTTTAGGGACAAGGATAAAGCTAACCACCCCAAATATTTACAGGAATGGGTTCAAGCTTAGGGGGGAAAGAGTATCAAATTACCACTGTTGTGATCACAAATGAGTTTTGGAACTAGGGAGGGAGAATGAAAAGGAGCTGAGGAAATTTCAACTTTTCCAAGTGGTTTCTTAAGAGAATCTCTATCCCAGCCAAGGGTTTTTTATTTTATTTTATTTTATTTTATTTTATTTTATTTTATTTATCTGTTGGATTTATATCCACAATAATCAGACTCTTGGCAGTTTATGATACATCCAAAGCCATAAAACAAAGCATCTGCAGGAAAGAAAATTAAATGGAAATACAAAAACAGCCTTAACTGCCCTTCCTACCCAACTCACACAAATTCAATCTCATAATGAATGGCATCACTTCATATCCCAAATGTTCTCCAAAATAGCTTGATTTTTAATAGTGTCTGGAGAGCCACGCTGGCTGGGGAATTTGGGGAGTGAAGTCCACACATCCTAAAGTCGCCAAGGATGAGAACAACTGCTATGGGGCAATCTCTTCGGCCAAGCTGCCAAAGGAAAGAAAAGCAGAGGAGATAGCATATTAGGTGAGACCATACTGGGGTAGCAGGTCTTCTCTTCATCTCAAGGAGTTAGTAAACTAGGGCCATTTAAATTTTTGAATATTTTCTTTAAAAAAAAAAGACTCAAGTTAGAAATATAACTCAATGATATTCTCACCAGTTCCTGGAATGGAGCATTTCTTTCTGCTCCACACTGAAGATGAAATTACATCAAATTTGTTTTCCTACCTTTGCACATAATCAAAGGCGCAGAACACAAGGCTGCTTCCTATTACATTGAAATAGATTCTCCACAACATCTCGTGACTGGAAAACTCTTATTGCATGCATACTGTCTCTTTTTTCAGGTCAAGGAAACTGAGCATAAGCACTCTGTAATTTACCCCACAATTTAAGTTAAAAGTAGGGGGAAATAAAAATAACCTCTTTCACATACTCGAAATGGTTTAATTTGATGGAAACGCTCAGAAGGTGATTGCAGATGACAAACATGGAAAGCCGTAGAATGAGTCTAATAAGTTCCTCAGTGTTTATACTGTTACAAGCTTCTGGTAATAAAATAAAATGTCTTGATTCTTCCCCCACATGAACATTTATTATGCATATCCAATGCTGTTCCAGAGGATGGGAGGAACAGGAATGCAAGAATGTAAGAACATACCTGCCAACCTAAGGTTTATTCAATGCATAGCTCTCAAAATTTAGTTATTTATTGTTTATGCTTCCTTCCAAAATGTATTTTTATTAATTTATTTACATTTTTATTTATTTATATTTCAAATTTAGTCACCACCCATCTCACTCAAAGAGCGACTCTGAGCGTTTTTTTTTGTCTATCTATCAAGGCCAAAAGAGAGACATCCAAACAAGACATTGGTAACTGGAGCTGAATCAGCGCTTGGCATTGTGGGAATAGCTTTCTCCTACACCCAAACCAAGGTATGTGTTTAAATAATAAATTAAAGCTAACTAGGTACTCTAGCTTGAATCCCAAATGAGAGAAACATTTATCAATGGTCTTTGCAATATTTTAGGACGTCCATAGTTTATCATGTGTATACTTACAAAGTGAATCTTAATTAAACCTTTGAGAATCTATGAAGATGAGAAATACTAGGAAGACTCTGTCATCCTTATGAGAACTGTACTCAAGTGTTATTTGAAAAGTCTCTTTTTAAGCATCCAAATGTTGTGATAATTTATTTTAGATGGTGCAATGCCTCTTTCCCAATACAGTAGATAAGGCAATTGGCCTTTGTGTATATACATCCTCAGCTATTTCACTAACCAGAATAAACTTCAATAATAAATAAACTTACCAGTTTACTGAAACGGCCATACATTGCATTGTTGTAAAGAACCAGAATTGCAGATTTTTTGCTTTTCAAAAAAGGACTAACCATGAAGTAAGAGGTCTAATAGATCTGATCCAAGGCCTTTTTAGTCTACCCCCTGAGAACAATTCAGATGCTTTAGAAATTATTTCCACCAGTGTCAGCTACATTATGGAGGCTATTTAAGAAATATGGGAAATAAAAAGACGCTGAATGCATAATTTCCTCTATTGTTATATAGCAAGTCATAAAGTGAGGCAAATACAGCGACAGTCTATAAGCATGGAGCTCTATCATCAAGAACGATTTATTACCTTGATGGTCGAGTTGTTAACATCCAAGTTCTCCAGAGACTAAAGTTCACTGAATTTTAACACATAAGAGATGTGCTTTGTTTTGTAAGTTATTTCCTGCTTCTCTGCAAGCCAATTATGATTGAGGAGATTAAGTGGGGAAGGGGGAAGAAATGTGTTCCTATAAAAAAAGATCCAGGATTAAAAATACAGTTTCAGATAAGCAGTGATCTTTAAATCATGATATCTTGTGAAAATGTATATCATGGAATCACAGTTATTGCAAAATCTACTTATTTGTAATAAGCCCACTAGATCTAGTCCTGTCATATCACACTCCTCATTCCAAACTGAAGAACCCAGATGTCAGGCTCCCCAAGGCAGGTGTAAGTTTGGTTGAAGTTCCCAGGAAGTTAACATGACACAGCTAGGACTAAATCATGGTTGTAATTATTGACAATCTCTGACCACTGGCTAATTCCCAAATCTTGGGTTTTTCCTTGGATTCAAATCTTCCTTGAGTTCAAATCCAGCATTCTCTTTCCTTGTGTTTTATTCTGCATAATAATAATCTGACCTTTCTTTTTCAATACTTGTTTGCTATTTCATGTTTACATTTTCTGCATTCTTGCCCTGGGCATCGCTAGAAATGAAGCCTTGACACCAAATCTCCAACTTACTTGACTGTGCTGTCCATCATGGATGTATTCCATCTCATAGAATCATAGAGGGGCCTTGAATTCCATCCTGCTTGACTATCTGTTTGACAGAGGAAATCCAGAATTAGAGCATTCTCCACAGATGGCTCGAAGAGTGAGGAGGGGAATGTCACGCTATCAACTCACTGGGAATTAGTGTCACTGTTAAATTGCTATTTACTGTCAAGACATTTCTTCTAAGAGTCTATATTACAACCAAGATCAATCTGCAGCTTAAACCCACTGCATCTAAGCTTGTTCTCTCTTGGCAGTACAGAACAGGATGTTACCCTACTATGTGACAGTACTTCAGGCCTTTGAAGAGCACATGCCCATTGGAGCTCCTTTTTTGAGATTTCTGCTATTTAGCAAGCACTCTTCAAATCAGTAATGTTTCATGAATGACTTCCAATGCAGTAAAGGAAGTCAGGGCATCTCTGCTATGACAATACATGTAAGTCCCTATACTGCTCATTAAGTAAAGTGAAGCCACCTTTGAGTCAGACTTAAGTCCTGGTGCCTTACATGGATATGTCTATGTATTTTTCTTAGGATGATACAGAAGTGATTTGCTATTGATTACTTCTAGAATGTTTTTCTTCCCTCAATTTCCCACTTTAGTCTAGTCTACAGCCCTGAATTCTTGTTCTAAATACTAATCAGGCCAACCAATCTCAGCTTCTGAGATCAGCCAAGATTAGCCAGGTGCTACTACCTATTAAAGCATGCAGTTTGTTAGATACCAGCAAATATATACAGTTAATACCCACAAAATTCCAAGCATCTCAACTATTCCCTATGGAGCACTTCTTGGCAAGTAGTCCTTGCAAGTACATAGAAGTTGGACTTAACTGTTGACCATCTTGCTTCATCCCCAGTCCATGCAAGCAGTAAGATGGATGAACACAAAAAAGGGCAAAGAGCAGGATATAATCAAATAAACAAAATCAATTGCATACATCTGGCTACAAGATGTGGTTGATTGTTATTTCCAAAAGAAAAGGAGAAGTCATTCACAGATTTCTTGTCAGTTTCTCTCTACTCCTTTGGCTCCAATTCCCCAAACCTCTAAAATCCTCTCAGTCTTCAGGATTTCTTGTAACTTCTTCTGATATCCTGGGGAAATTCTTCTCAGTAACCAGCAATGTGGACACGCTTGAACCCCAGATGAGTTCTCAAGTAGGCATGTTATTCACAATGCTAAACTAAGCAGGTTGACTGAACTGGCAGGAAGTGTGTGTTCTGGAGTGCAAATAGTCAGATGGGGGGAAATTGAAATCCACTGAAAATCTTCCTCTTGCACACTTACCAAAGATATTCCAGTACTTTTGCCTATGATCATCCTAACTAACCCTTTCCTGAAGCAGAAAGGAAATGCTAAGGTTTATCATAAATCGGTGATTTTGTTTTCACACAAAGAATTCTTTGTCAGTGTGTCCCAAAGTATGAAAAAACCAGGGGAAGCCCCAAGTACTTCTGTTGTCCCTGCAGACAGAGGATATGTACATAGCACTCAAGGATGCCTTTGAGTTGCAGAGAAAATAGTGTACAATGCCTTGGTCTGCTCAAACAGCAAAACATTTAATAATACATTAAATAAAATCAGAATACTCACTGGAAACATAAATAATTAAGCTAAAGCTTAAATATTTTGGTCACATAAGGAAAAGGCAAGAGTCATTGGAGAAGACCTTAGTGCTAGGAAAAATACAAGACAATAGAAAATGAGCCCGACAGGAGACAAGGTGGTTGGATACTATCACTGATGATATAAGTAGGAGCTTTGAGAAGAAACAGTCACTGACAGACAGTCCTGACAAAATAATGGCTGTAAGGTCATGAAAAGTCAGGAACAACTGAACAATTGTCCTGTCCTGCTGCTTGGACTTCATGGCAGGAACAGATAGACTTCTGACTGAAAAACTCTATGTTGTTTTTGATTTAGACATTGAGATCTACCATCCAAAGCCATGGTGCAAAATCTACCATTAGTCTCTTCCTCCCATCATTTCTTTTAAACAACACTCGTTCAGTGACCATTCAAAGTTATGATGGTGCTGAACAAGGGGGACATTGCAGCATCCTCGTGGTTATGTGATTATGATTTGGGTGCTTGGCAACTGGCTTGCAATTATGACAGTTGCAGTATCCCATGGTCATGATTGCCACTTGTGACCTTCCCTTCTGGCTTCCCACAAGCAAAGTCAGTGGGCAAGTCGGCAGGAGTTTGCAAGTTGCTCCCGCAAGTTGCTCCCGCTCCTGCCACTTTTTCTCCCAAGGACTCCTGGGTGGCATGAGGATCTTGTACTCTTTAGCACCCTCCTACAGCACCTGCCTGCCCACCCTCACTCCGTAGTGCCTGCCCGCGGCACCCGCCCATCTGGCAGCCTGCTTGCCCGGGATGCAGTTTCAGCAGCTCTTCTTACATTGTGGTCACATGAGGTCCTTGCCTAAAACCGCAACCAGGACTGCTATCACTAAGCAGTGTGGTCATGTGATGTTTTGCTTAATGACTGCTTTGCATGCCAATGGAAATTCCAGTCCCAATTGCTGTTGCAACCTGAGGACAACCTGTACAGGTTGTTTTCATCAGTGTTTCTAAGCTCCCCTCCCCTAGAAAAAGGGGAGAACTGAACTGAAGTGCAGGCAAGGAATGGCATAATATAGAGATGAGGCTAATCACATACTAAATAAGCATCTTATATCTTTAGCAATTCTGTGTATGAATTAAAGGATTTAATTATCAGAGGCCTTGCTCTAGCAACCATGTTCCATTCTGAACTGGGGCAGATGATTACCAAAATAGTGGTTTCTCAGGGTGATACCTAAAGCCTGATGAAGTTCCATATTATGTAGGAGGTAAAGCTTCTTTGCCTTCTGACAATGACTGTGTGATATTTGTACATCCAGGGTACAACCATACTGCAGCCTTCCATATAGTCAGCAGTTCCTCATCCAACCATTCATATACTGGAACGGTAATTTGATATCAGTTCCCCAAGCATTTTATTGCCTCTTCAGTGGCTAAGCACCTCCATGGAGAATAAGCATACAGAATCATTTATTTTATGGCTGTGTACTTTAGGTGTATTCTTACGTACTTCCACAAAGCTCAAGCCTGCAGTCTTCTGCTGCTTTTTGTAACACACGGACAAGAGACATTGCTGGATCTGTCGCAGTAGCAATGTAAGTCCAAGCAAATCAAGAGGAAGCTCTGGGCATTTTCCTATCTGAGATGCCAAAGAAATTACAGCCTCCATATAATAAACTGAAATAAGCTGAATGAGGAGATGAATATTCCTATTGCTTTGGATGTCCTTGTGATTAGGCAGAATGAAGGAAGTATTTCAGGTGACCCACTGGAATGGACATCACTTGGCTAAGCACCCATCTGTTGCTCCAATGTGCTATCCAGTTTGCTCTACTAACCTCCTACTTGCAAACACAGTTCTGTCCTTAGACAAAATAGAAGAAGCAGTGAATCTAGAAGGAACAACTAGGAAGCTGCCCTTACTGTCACTAAATGGTCATCTTATTTTGTCCAATGCTTGGGCCAGAGCTGTTTGGGAAATGGAGCTGCCACCTCCTAACATAGGGCAAAAATTAACCTAAAATAGGGGAGTACAACTTCAAAACACTCCTCCTAAATCATTGTGTGTGGTCCATCTCACCTTTCCAAAATTTGCTCCAAATTTTATTTCTTAAAGTGACAGGACATGAATAGTTAATAATACATGAGGAGTATTTTTATTAACTGCAATTAAAATTAAAATTACATCAGATTTAGTGTTCGTCCTTATCCTGCTCCTGTAATGATGTGCAGTCCCCAGCATGCCAGGTAAAGCCTAAGTGGCAGTAGAAGACCACAGAAAATAAATATGTGTTGAATCCCCTTCTAAACTGTCATAAGGAAGAATCTTATTTCAACTTCAGTGGCAATTTACTCCATAATATGGGCAGGGCCACAGAAAAAGGGGGATTGACTATTAATGACAAAACATCATTGGTGCCCCAATGATGACCGAAGAGTGCAAGGCAGATTGTATTTTCCAGAGCAGACTTCAAGGCAATCCTGAAGTAGCTGAAGTAGTCTGGATGCAAATCACGTAAAATTTATACCTTGAACTAGGCTAGGAAGAGAATCAACAATCGGGGAGAGAACTACCCACTAACATATTACCACATTCTAAGCCTGTTGTGGTTTCTGACTTCAGTTCAGCTTATTCTTCCCCATCCAGTTTCTTCCCACCTGGAGATATGGTCAGGTGAAAGTCAAGGAAAGGAAAAGTATAGTTGAATATTATATTTTATAACAGTCAGACATCACACTGGAACAAATATGATTCTGGTATATTAAGGAAATGCAAACACTTTTTAATTGTACAGATTATAGACAGCTCTATACTCACAGTACAGAAAACAAGAGGAAGAAAACAGAGGCAAAGTGAAACAGTAAGACTGTTAATGAAATGCTAATGGAGGCAATGGGCCAAATGAAAACCACCACCCCCCATTGTGATTTCATGTTCTTTCCCTTGCTTTTTAATAAAAAGATAATCCTTCATTAGATAAAATTACACATAGGCAGTTATTTCTCAGGAAACAAAGAGATAAATCCCTTGAAAAATTGCTTGCCACGTTTTGCTTGAGTGCCAGAATTGGCTAAATTAGGTGATTTTAATGCAAGGAAAAAAAATGTTCTTACTTGAGACATATTGTACCAGTTTACAGGAAACATGGCCACAAATGAAATAGGCAAGCACAAAAGATGCACTTATCAAGATAAATAAATGCTTAGCACAAGAACTTTGCTATAAATTGATCCATGGAGCATCTCTACTAATGTTACTTCTTCTGCTGTTCAGGGAGAGCCTGTGACTCTTCTGCTTTCCCAGCAACAAAGATGTATTTATTGTTTCTAAAATCCCAAAACCATCATATAGAATTCACAGCAAGGGACAGAAATACTCAGGAAAAGTCCCTATAGCTTGAAACTATGGTATCCACCAAGCAACTCTCAGCCATTGGCATAGAGATAGATTTAATATTAGTTTTGGTTGGATGAGGCAAGTTGCCCATGTACAGACCGAGTTTCTTCTAGCAGGAAGAAGCCAGAGGAAGTAGGTGGGAAGGAGTTGAGGTTGTGA